GAATAATTGAGAAATGATCGATGTAGAAGTGGCAATGGCGAGTTGTGATATTTGTTTCATGGTATGATTTCAGAGTGAATCCGCCTTCATCGATATTCAAATTCGGTGAGATGGAACTAATCGATGGTGGTTCGAATGTGGGAGTTACGAATGATAACGTTGATTTATATCTTGAGAAATGCTTGCAGTTCTACTTGAATAGTGGTATTTATGAGCAGGTTTGTTTATTGACACTATTCATTTGTGACTTACAGCGCGTTGTTGATGAGAATTGTCATTGTGAATGCTGCTGATATTTGATATGTTTTAATATTAAAATGTTTTCTGTTAGATTTCCACAAGACATTCAGTGGTGAACGAAAGAAACACAAAACGATTGTTGATATGTATTGTGGAGATACGATTAATTTATATGGATCTTTATTTGGAGAATAATAAGAATAAATTCCCTTTGTTTATATTAATTCTAATTGTACATAAACGCATATTTTGCAATTATAGTGGAATAGTAATGCTAATGCTTATAAATATAATAATAGGAATGNTTTTATTTAGATCAGCGCACTCCGCGATGGCTTCAATTTGGTCTTTCCATTGCGTTCATTACGAATGTTCACACCAGAAGAAGTTCAGGTTTGTATGTTTGTTCACTTGATGTGTTAGTGAAGAGGGGTGTTTGTGTTGGAATGAATGGATGATGAGATGTGAATATACTTAAAAAACGAATGGATTTAAGACTCTGCTGTCTGGTGAGCAATGCCCAGAATGGACACGCGACGATATAATGAATTACACTGAACCGAAACTCGGATATACAAGAGAATCACCGGGATTCTTGAGATTCGTCGACGTATTGGTTGGAATGACTGCCGCTGAGAGGAAATCATTCCTTCAGTTCACCACAGGCTGTTCATCGCTTCCGCCTGGTTCGGATTCCGCGCTTTTGTTTCGTTATTTGATATTGATTCTTAGTTACATTCAGAAACTTAACATACAACATTATCGGCACTGCGATATTGTTTGAAACTCAAACGCTTATCAGTAGAAGCAATAAGATTTTAATGGAAACTGAACACTGCTGATAATAATGGTACTGGTAGGGATAGTGCTAATGAGAGTACTGATAATAATGGTACTGGTAGGGATAGNGATAATAATGGTACTGGTAGGGATAGTGCTAATGAGAGTAATATTTATGAAATGGGAACAACAAATAAATATTCTCAAAAGGCATTACACATTCACTCATTCAGGTGGCCTTGCAAATTTGCATCCACGTCTGACGATCGTACGAAAAGTGGATAGCGGTGATGGTAGCTACCCGTCGGTGAATACTTGCGTTCACTACTTGAAATTACCGGATTATAGCAGCGTTGAGATTATGCGTGAACGACTGTTGACTGCGACGAACGAGAAGGGCTTTTATCTGAATTGAGTTGTGTTCGATTTGTGATGATTATCGATGATGAAACGAAATGATCTGATCTGATCAATTACGCGACGAGTTGATTGATTTCATATGAACAATGAACATCCCTCGCTTATTCATTTGTTGTTTTGTTGGCACATTCTGATTAGAACTGCTTTGAGTGGTGTTGCTTCGATCATAGACTAGCTGGAGAGCAAATCTTAGCGAATGAGAAAAGATTCTAGTAAATCTTGTTGCGGAATGGACCAAATTGATGTATCTTGATGTGGAAATTGTTGTGGAATAATATTTATTCGGAAACTTTAGTTGAGGTGCTTTTGCACCCACCTTCCTTATTATTAACTTTGATTAGAATTTGAATGGTGCAGGTTTTATGAGTGGAAGTAATTACTCATTTCATGTGACTTTTATGAGCGACCACGATCAGTTAATGTGCTTTCAAACAGATGAATGAATATTTGCAAATATTTTTCATTGTTGTTTCTCTGAAGAAAAATAACATACAAAGTTTATTATCATTTCTCAACAGGTGAACGAACGATCCATCTTCAGAGTATCGATCTTTTACCTTTTCCATAATTTCAGTTTGTTTTATATTTTCGTTACAACGTTGTATGAGTTCCTCGTCTGTTGGGTTCCTTCCTGTAACACTGGGTCTTGTTAAAAAGTAGTCGTAAAACGTTTATTATGTCTCGAATGTTTCCAGTTGTGGGTTTCAAATTTCGTACGTCTTTTTCACAAAATGATGTATTATTTTTTCTTTTCAACTTTTCTATTGTCTTCTCTGTTGTGTTTGAAATTCTGTAGCAGCAAAATGTTGAAGCTATTCGAAATGTTGCGATGGAGTAATTCTGGTATTTTTGATTGCTTGGGATTTTGTTCGTATTGATTTGAGTGTTAAGCTGGAATGTAGTGGTTTTATAATAGTGTTGTTGTGTATAGACGGGATTTTTAAGGGGGAATGTAAGGAAGATGTTAGTCTGAATATTTTATTGACAATGAGAAATATTATTCAATTTTGGTTGTTTTAAAGAGTTAGTGGTTGTTTTTATTGAATCTTTGTGTTGTAGAAATATTCAATTTTAGTATTTTTTACAGCATCAATTGACGATCAATTAATTCTCTTGTTTTTTGGATCATTTAAAGTGTTTAATTGGTTGGTTTCATGTTCTGATTAGAATGGCGATAATGATGATGATACAATTGTGTTTGTGGAATTTTACTCTGTAATCTATTCATTTCTGTATTACCGGTCTGCTTTGAGATGTATTATAGACATATATTATTTTTGATTATCTTTATTCTTTGATCACTTTCAGTTCTTTTATAATATTATACCACTTCTATGTATTTACAAGATTCTCAAGAATATTTTCATTCGTATATTCGTTGAGTTCACCGATTATTTCAATGCAGTTTTATTCATTCATAATAAACTTTCATTTATAATGCGTGGCTCCGTTTCTCAATGTCGAAGTTGAATGATTTCGTTTCATGGTAACTTTCGATATTTCAATTAATACTTTCTTGATGAGGACAGGATTTGCAGTGGTTTTACTGCTCTTCATTGAAAGACTCTTTATGATATTATCAAAGAAATTGCTCTAGTGTGCTCTATAGCTATTAAGGATGGTGCTCGAAATGAATCACAGTGCGATTTCNTGGGTTATTGCCGACGCAATGAAACGTTCATTGCAGTGAACTTTACGAACGCTTTGTGTGATGAAATGGGTGTAGTGATGTTGCAATTTTTAAAGTTTACGAGAGGAATTTATGTTGAGGCGAAGTGAGCTTTGTGAATTTGTGATATTCATTTACTACTAGTTGTTTTGTGATTGCAAATGATTGTAGCATTTTGTACATTTTTCATTTAAATGATTCATTGATCGTTGATGTGATCGTTGGTTTGGTTGGAGGGTAGAGTGGTTCGCTTCTTGTCGTATCCGATGAGCAGCACATTAAATTCAGTTGTATTTTTAAAAGGAATGTTGATTCATAGATTGAAATTTGGCTGGCATCACCGGTTATACTGTTGTGTTGTTTTGTGTGAAGGTCAAATTTAGTGAATGGAATGAGATTCACTTAGTTTGAGTGTTCTTTGCTGTGGAAATATTGATGATTAGGCGACCATAGCCCGGCTGTCCTATGCCTTGTGATTTTATTGAGTTGTTGTTGATCATACCGGGGAACTTATCGGCTTAGTTGTGTTTGTAATCATCACCATAGGTTCTTGGAAACGATCTGTGCTTAGTCCATTCTTACACCTTCACAGATTTAATCGGCACAGTGAAGATTTGAAGTCGAGCTTTTTAATCTAGTTCTTCCGATGCGTTGTCATAATTCCTGTGGTAAACTGCGTGATCATTTCGAACTTATTGANNNATGTTATTAAATTAACATCGCCACAAAATAATTTCTCTTGATCTGGATCAGTATCAGCACAATGGATACACTGAAAACAAGCAGTGATGCGAGGAAAGAGTTCTCGAATGAGGATCTCCTTCGACTCTTGTCCTACCTAGAAGGTGAACTCCAAGCCCGTGATATTGTCATCGCTGCTTTAAAGGTACTTTTGTTAACGTCGTGTTAACAATTTTTATTTGTCATTATTCTTTTCACGTTCATAACGTAACAAGTATGCAAGCGTAATGCAAGCAGTATCAGAATTTGGTTTGTAATCACCAACTTTATTTAATCTGAATACCAGCTGATGATTTTATGCAGACGAAATGTGCGATCTGATTATAGATATGGTTTTTGAATGTGGTATTCAGACGATTAACTCATACCGAAATTATTTGGAATGTAACACTTAGTTTGCATTCAGTATGAGATTCGAGTTTTAAGTTGTTCGATGAGCATTTATTGTGATCGTTTGACTTGCTTCAGATAACTTTGTTGATCTTTATGCTTTGAAAAGTGTTCTCTTAAGTGAACACAAGCTGTGGCTGCAGTGCATTTGATTTGTTGTTGCAGTCAGAGAAAGCGAAACAATTATTGTACCGAGCCAAATATGGGCGCTTGAATGGCGATGATCCTTTGAATGCGCTACAGCGAGATTCGAATCTATCCGGTGTTGAGGGTGAACTGAACGAGACTCAGATCAGTCAGATGTACGAATCACAATTGTCACAACTCGAAAGGTTAATAGCAGTGCAACGCCGGTGTCATTTACGATCAAAACAGGTAATTGAGCTAGTGAGAGTAGCAGCAGCATCTTGTTCTTTATTTATTCGACTCCATGTCATGGTCGTAACGTAGACAATTGCTTTCATAAAGGTTAACCACTGGGTGGCAGTATAAACCATATGAGTTTGGACATTTGAAAGCTCCGCCGAAAATTTTTGCATTGCGTTTTTGAAGTATTAATTAATAGAGGCATTGATGGAAGATGCTAGGTGGGTTCGGACAGATTTCATGTCGAACAGTTATTCAATGCAGATTTTATAGAAGTTGATGCGATAATCTGAGTATGTGTTATTCTAACTTCTTTCAAAATTTCCTCAAACAATGATGCGTAAACTCATTGCTGTGGCATATCTTGAAATAAATCTTTTCCCCTCTGAANCGCTCGGCAGCGGATGCGGCACATGGTGATGATTTGTGTGCGTTACTCGAGAACGAACGCACAAAACTAAGGCAGCAGGTTGGTTCGGTGGTTCCTTATCTTCTCTGATAGTAATTCATTTCATTATTCATCAGCGTATTGTTCTTTGCATTTGTCATTGTTACGTGAAGTTTATCTTTGTGGAGTTTATGTGATTGATTTTTTAATTTTTTTTATTGTATGTTAGTGAGCGATGGAATTGTATTTGACAAGCATTATTTTTTCACAAGAAAATATTAGTTGATATGCATCGCAACACCTGTTCATTGGCAGTCCTACTTGCTTGCTTGAATGGTGAAATTACAGTTGGAATACGAACAGAAAGAGAGCGATAAAACGAAGAAGGAGATTGAAAAACTGGAAAAGAAGTTACTGGATGAGAAGGATCGTCACAAGTCGATGGTGTTGTTCTTGATCAATGAACGTAAGCAGATGTTGGTGAAGATGCACGAACTGAGGATGCAATCGGAAAATACGGGTAAGTCAGTGATAATCATCTGTTTGCGTTTGTTTCGAATGATTTTAAACGAGAATAAATTAATTTTTGTTGATGTTTTCAGGACGGACTAGCACTCAACAGGAGAATGTGCTACTGGATGAGATGCGAACTGAACTGACAACGGTTAGGAAGGAACGTGATCAGCTTCGAACGGCTCTGAACTCAGCCCGTCAAGAGGCACAAACTCTTAAAGAGGTAGGAGGCTTCTTCAATTCTCATTTTTGGATTTATTTGATTGATAGAGGCACATAATCACAGAGAATCTGCACTGGTATCAAAACAGTAGTTTCGCGTGAAAATCAGATGTAGTCGCGTTTTTGCTAATGTCAGAATTATTTGAAGTAGTTGGTTGGCATNTAGAATCTTAGAAGAGGTATGATGTCTAGATGCAGATGTGTGCTGTGATCAATGGTTACTTTGATGTTCCTGTGCACGATTCTTATGTTCGATCGTCAGCAGATATTTCTGTGAAATATATTCTATAAAATAGAGATTCGTTCAGGCAGTACGAAGTCTAGAGGAAGATTTAGCAGTGATGTGTAATAATATGATGAGTGGTGCTGGCGCTGGTACTGTTCCGAACTCAAGGATACATGCCAATAATGTGAGTGCTTAATTATCACTGGTTGTTGATTAGCTTGTGTGGAATAGCTAAAGGAAATGTTTATGATGATCATGATTTAAAGGTACGTCTACTGCCCGATGGCTCTGTGGTGTTAACGAATAAAGCAGCCAGTGCATCGTCAGCATCTAACGTGCTCGTATCGACTAGCAGGACTAGTAGTGCATCAACGAATCAGTCATCTTCGTCCTCGTCATCCACATCCTCCCTGAATCGTCCAGTGGATATTCGCTCGATATCGTCCACCACTACCACCACCAATAGAAGCAGGTTATCGAGCTCATCGAGTTTCCCGTCAGATGAGCGAACGAACAGCAGTACAAGTGGTGGCAGCAGTGCCGTGAATAATATCCACCTAAACAGTAGTTCACAACCGAGTCGTGTACCACTCCCAACAATGCCCTTGTCTTCAGCAGCTGCTGCAACAATACCACCGTCACCAACCAGGTTGGTGTCTGCTTTCATTGGAACTTCATTTGAGAAGCTCATTTTTGATAGTGTTTCTGTTGTGAAACATTTTTGATATATTTTATTCTGCTCAATTGTCAAATTTGTTAAGAATTTGAAGAAATGATCATGAAGTGTTGACGATGTGTTTTGGTAAGTGAACGGACGGACTTGTTTCTTTTTTTGTTTCATTGAGAGGTTGTTATATTGCATATGGATGAACTTTTTGTGGAATTTTGATGTGCATATGTGTTGTGATTGATTTGGATTTGATTTAATCTAGTTTGCTGTTCTGGAATTATAGTTTTCGTATGGATGGGAGGGAATGGATTGAGGGATGTCTCATTGTTTTTNGTTGTTTATTGTTCGATAGTCACTGAACTCATAACTGATCGTGTGTTAGTAGTCGTGATGAAAATAGAGTGAGAGTATGTTTGCGAGTGAATCGAATCGAAATTCAGGCGTCATATAATCACGAATCCGCCGCCATCGTCATCGAATGCGAATCGATCTCGACAAATCGCGTCTGCAACTTCCACTGGCAATCACCACCACCATCATCACCAATCCTCAACATCATCCACAAGAAATGTGGCACCAACGGCAGCCCCAGACCCGACCCTAATGCCCCCTTCACCAGTGTCGTATCAGCGTCGAGAACAACACCATCATCACAGTAACAACAATAAAACAGCGTATGCGACCGAACCCGAAATCGAACAGCTCGGTGCAGTGATCCAATCGATGAATTCCACATCGTCATCGTCCTCTTTATCCTCGTCGAAAAGCAGTCAGTTTTTGTGGTTGTTTTAATCAGTGCAGTTTTAGTATTATATCATTCGTGCATTATTGTTTTTGATTACTGAATTGTTTAGTGCAATTGAATTGTTTGTTTTATGTTAATATTTTAGGTTATTTTGTTTGGTTTTGTTACACTTTGTCATTAATTTGTTATTGGTATTGATATAGTTGGGTATATCTTAGTGGTTAAACAAACGTCATTCAGATTCGTCCAATTTTTGTCGGTCCTAATTCGAGTTGTTAATTGAAACAGCGTGGAATTCAGTACCAATCCATGGTCATTAATATTCACTCAGTGTGATATATTCCAGGCAAGAGAAATGTGTCAGCAGTATCTCAAAGCATCAATCAACAACCTGCAGTACAACATCATCACAGTCAGCCACAGCATCAGATGAACTCGAATTCTGCGAAACACTCTAGTGCGCCACCCTCTTCAACTGTATCACCAAACGTTCAGCAGTCGTCATCGTCATATAATAAAATAAGTACACCGAAACGAAGTGTTCTTTTCAAAGCGTTTGGAGTATCTTGCAGGAGTGCGGATAGTAGACACGACTGACTGATTCGTTGATTGATGCTTTGCTTTTGTATCGGTTCGTTTCTTATTTGTTCAGTCATTTATTCATTGAAATTCTGATTTTGTTATCGTGTCATGAGTTTTGTTAATACGTTTCGCGTTGGCGTTGTTGTTGTTGTCATTGCTGTGATCAGTTAGTTTATCGCACTCAAACCTATTCTGTTATGATGTTGGTGATCTGTTGTGTGTACTCGACGCTTTTTCAAATCATTACTTTGCACTGGTTGCGTTCAGAACGAGAAGCAGAAAATTATTATATGGAAAAAGTTGTTTTATTTTGTTTTGGTTTTGCTATCAAGTCAAGGAATATCTCGTGAGATTATTTGCAGTTGAACGTGGATAGTTCTCGCAATGAATATTATCATTACGATTGTTTTCGATCGGATTCATTTCAGTAAAAGGTGAAGTGACATCAAATTACTGAATGATCAGTTTTGCAATCAGTTCAAAACACACTGAGTGGTAATGATTTGTATTGTACTTATTTTTCGTATTAATATCAAATAGTGTAACATTTTAAATGTTAGCAATATTTCTACTTTTATGTTTTTACTTCTTACAGCTTATATGATGATGATAATATGAGTAATTCTCTTGCACCAAACCAAATGATAACAATCTCACAAAATCACATAATTCATTTATTCGTTTTGTTGTGTTTCGTTAAGTTGTTGTTTCGTCGCGTTGATTTTTAGAGTGACTGATGAAAGTTATTGACGTGTCTGTATATTGTTAATGAGATGAAATGGTTAATGATGTCGGTTGAATTGGTGTTCAACGCACTCAAATGATTCCATTTTCAGTTGGGTCTTAACGACGTGTAATAGAATTTCGTTGCGTGTGTGTGTGTATTTGAGTGTTACAGAGTGTCAAGTTTTGTGAATGAATACCTTTTGAATATGGATACTTAAGATTGCAAATGAACTGAGCAATCATCAAACTATTCGCTGCATTTGATCAAAAATGCAAATTTCAACTGGAAGAAATGTTATCAAATCGCGCATCATTTATTAGTATTAATCAAGGAAAACTATTTTGAAAATCACTCTCAACTCGCACTTCTAATTTCGAGAATGATTTTGGTCAATATTGCCACTAGTCGACAATTGGTTCATTCATTCATTAAAGGTATTTTTGTTCGTTTCGTTTTACTTACGATTAATGTTTGTTCGTTTTCTTATTTTTTCCAAGAAGGCTTAATCTATTTTCGTTACTTATGGATTATTGATAAATGAAGGAATAATGTATTAATCATCTATTTATGAGCTGATTATTAATTGTATTGAATATCTGTTATAAGTTGAGTTAATTGAATGAATGCGTGAAGGTTTATTTAGTGATTTGTTTGATGATAATGATGTGGATTATAATTTTTATTGGGGAATGTTGGTGATGAACGTGAAATTTCGATGACAGAAATGCTATCGCAATACAATATCATCGTATCTTATTAAATGTTTATGCAATGGGGTTATTTGATTGGCGTGGACGAATTCAAAGGCGTAAGGAATTCATAATAATAATAATAATTCGAACAGCTGCTCTAGTTTTTGTTTTTCAGCGGACTTTGCGTTGTAGACTTCTTATTAATTCAATAGTATACCCTTAGTTATGCCAAATTGATTTTTATTTTACTCGCTCTTTGAGGTAGTATTCAGTCACCTTCTAAACTAAGGCTTGTCAAACATCAGTGTGGGTATGTTTCATTAAATGTACAGAATATTTCAAAAATCATTTATTTATTTGACTTGGAATGTTTTTTGATAAAAGGGTAATTTCATATTTAAAAAAACAACTTTAGCTTTGAATAAAATAAATCTTTCATCGATCGGACAGTCGATTTAACAGCTAGTTAGTTCACTGCCGCGATTGTTTCATCGAGTAGTTGACGTTTTGTGATCATTTCGTACTGAACGGATGTTTTCTGCAATTTGAACAGCTGAGAGACAGTTGCGGTGTTTATATTATATGCAAAAAGTACATGTAATGATGCACCGTGTTTTGTTTAAGTTATGTTTAGTAGTGCAATGGAAAGTACAAATGAAAAATGATAGAAGCTAGTGCTGCGTTCGGTTTGTTCGTTTCCCAGTTTCCCTTTAGTATCTGTCAGAGTTCGCTGGCCTAAGGTGGATGCGAAAGGCAGTCAGAATCAACAATTCAAGACTAGTTTGGAATAAGTCATTCAGATTGTTATTGATACGACAGAGTTTTAAGTATTCGTGAGTGATGATAACCTTGGATGAGAGTGCTTCATCGTTGATCAGATGTAAACGCGACAGCCAAACCGGCTCGCAGTTGTTCGAAAAACTTGTGTATTGACACCAGTTGTAATGCGCTTGCTCGACATCCAGTTCGTTCTGCTTACGATACATCCACAATCCGAGTGTATGTGCACAGTAATCACATTCTATTGCATCGCGCACCTTTTCACTGCAATTTAGAAAACAATAGTAAAGTATTGAAGTGGAACCATTAAGACGCAAAGATCATTATTATCACGGCTAATAGAAAACAACTTAAGAATGTTTGATATCCCTTCAAATGACAAAAGTAGTCTGAATGACGACACTAATAATAGGAATAATAGTAACGAATAAAATCTATCATAATAGCAATATTCACTGAGTGAATGACAATATTATTGATGTCTGTAATAATAATTAATATGGTTTTGGAACATACCTCTTCATCCATCCACAACACACCAAATCAGCAATTTTTTGATCAGATATCCCAAATTTCTTACGAACTTGATCAGTTGCTGTCAAATGTTTAATATTCACATCTTTCAGATTCAAATTTTCTTCCATTTTTTTAGATCTGAAATTATTTGAGTTTACAATAACTTCTTTAGGATAATTCGCTAACTTCAACTTGCAGATTTCAAGCAAAATTTTATATCTTTTATTCNGAGAAATGAAATGAAATCTGCTGAATGATCACATTCAGATTTTATATGGAAAGGGAAAATTGTTTTATTGACCGTTCGATAATTTGTGCGAAATATTTTTGACTGTCAATATCTGCCATTTGCTCATTTAGAAATGTACATCGAAAACGACACGTTGTGCGATGTGCATCGACTACTCGCGAATTCAGTCTCCTTAATTGAGATTTATTCATATAACAAACAATTATGACCATTATTAATCTCACTGTTCGGTAAATATATCATTTGCATAGTGCTTTCTTCCTTACTTCCTTCATTGTTTCCTGAACGTATGGTGACTGTATTTGGGCTAATAGTTAAACTGGATTATTTTAGGTTATTCAAATATGCAATTACTCAAAGGAATGAATGTCAGAGTACATACATATGGATTTGTTATTTCACCAATTGGTGTTTGAAATGAATAAGGGTTCAGGTTATTATTCGATATTTCACTGAATTTTTCATATATGTATTCGAACAGTAACGTTCAGTAGGTTGTATAATATTTAACTCAAATTTAAAATTTCAAAAAGATATTGCTTGTATTTGAGTGACGGTCAGTTGAGTATTCAGATGCATTTATAGAGTAAAAGCATCGAATTGAATGAGAGTAAAAGTGAATAAATTTGGTAGAATGAAAGTAATATACAGTAAAGCTGCTCGAAACACAGCGCAGTCATCCACATCGGTCAGCGATGGAAGTTGAGCACTTAGATATGCACCACATACTGCACAATACAACAGATTCGGACTCACACAACTCCAGCCGTGTTGTGCGAAGCGTTGCACTGAGATCTCTTTCGGTTTTGCACTCCAATTGTGTAACTTAATTAGTTTGACATGTTATTATGACAGGTATATGTCATCATTTATTGTTATTACAGACATATTATTACTGATTTTTTATAATTACACTGATAATAATATGATTAAGATGAGGCATTCAAGTTAAATGTTTCATCTTAATCTGAATGCAGACAATTGGACCAGGCAGTGAAATAACTCAAAATGAATTGAAATCACTCTGATCACTGTTTCATTGACTTCAGAATCATAACTATTGGTGTGAACGAGAAAGTATGTCAGTCAGCACATTGATAAAAGAAAATATCGATAAGTTAGGTGTAAGTTGAAGAGATAAAATATTAGAATAAAACTCACATTAAAAGATAGTAAACGTTGTTTGAGATTCGGGGTCGGCTTTATGACGATATCGGGGCTCAGTTTCTGAGGGCATGAAAGCCTGAATAGCGTTTGATGTTAATCGAAATAAATTGCTTGGCACGGCACACTTCAATAGAATGTTTCTTTACAAGAACGGTAATGATATTTTCCGAATTTATACAAAGTCACTTGAATAAATTAAGTTTTTGAATTCACTTGAGAGATTTCAAAGTGATTTTTTATGTTCTGTCGTCTTCAAACGATTCAACTAGCAAGTGTATTGAAATGTTTAGGATAGACTAGACCTACCTGGCTTTCTTCATCGTGATGGCAGTATGTTGAACGGCATTTTCGAGTAGCTCAGTAGCCCTTCGCTTGAGTTCAATTGTTCTTCGTAAACGTTTGCTTTGATGGTCTTCTTGTGCTTCATCTTAATTGAAATTTGAGAGATTGGTGGATTGGATTAGTCGAATATTAGTTTTGGATATGAAATCAAACAGCTAAACGAAGGAACATTTTTAGTGCGCATTGTAAATGAATGAGGTGGATGGATATTTTCGATCAAATGATTTTGCGATTGAAATGAATGAATGAAACGATTCTCGATTTCGTTTGCTTATTTGGGAGTATAATTCGAGAAACGCAAATCGAAAAGCGTTTGTTTCTTCTTTTTATATCTATTCACCGATGGTATTTTCATTATTTTGTTTTATTATCGAATTGTTCTGATAATAACACAGTACGTATATCACGATCGCAATGCATATATCACAATATGATAATAATAATATGCCGATGAATATCACAGCAATAAACAAGTACCGTTTTGATGCTGCTGCTGCTGCTGCTGGCCATTGGTTGATGGCCCTGCTGAGGATGTCTCTATCATCCTTGTTTTTACGAGGTACTT